TTTCATTAGCTAGTTCGGAAACATACACTACAAAATAATCATATTCTAAATCCAGACCAAAATCTGAGTTACCCTTATTTTGTTGGATTTCTCGAATAAGGCAAAAAGTCATTTCTCGAAATTTCTTTATGTCGCTACTGCTGCATATCAGTGCCGACGAAAATTTCGATGCCAAGCAATCCTTTTATAAACATACTATTTAATGACGAAAATCTGTATGCAAACAGTATAATCTGTATATTGAAAACACCCAGAATTTATCGATTTATGAATGTTAATTAGAATTAGGAAGTGCATAACATAGTGTTTATTTACGAGTAATTACGTATCAATTACTTGCACTCTTCACTTGCAGACCTGATCAGTTAGTTGGCTACCGTACCATTGGTCCCGGGTTCAGATCCCTGAGAAGACTTGGATGTTTGTAAGTGTATAGGATAGCGAGAATTTCCGGGAACAAGTCTAAGCATGTATCCTCTCCATAGCGTTAAAGAAAATTAATTCACGCAATCCGTTAAAAGAATTTCTGTTCTATAAATCTTAGGGAGATTCCGTTGTTTAGATGCGCTAGAATCAATACCACCATCGTCTCGTAAGGGAGGATCACGCTAAAGGTAAAACGTTTTAAAGTTTAAAGAAGGATATTTTAGTAAAAGTTTTCCTTATATTTTTCTGTTGATGGGAGTATCATAAGACTCCAGTATGCGTTCAATATGAGTTTAAAAATTGACTTACATGCGTAGTTGTAAAAAATGTATTTTTACATAACTTTGGTTAAAATATAACTGTACAGTTCGAATCACAGATTATTTTGTCTCAGAGAAATGAGAGATCATGAGACATATCATGTGACATTTTCCGGAAAATTCCGATCGTGATTTTAGCTAATAAGAAACTTAAAAACCATTTCGCTGCTTGCAGCGAAATGGTGCAGAATCGCCCACTTATTTGTTTGGCGCTTTTTACAAGAGTAAGAAGAATTGGATTTTTGTCCATTTTCTTTGACTTTTTAAGTGAAAATAGGTCGATGTGTACATAGATAAAGTCAAGAATGTGCGCAATGCCATTTTTGTGCAATTCTGGGATGTTTTTTTAAGTGAAAATAGGTCGACGTGCACATGGATACCGTTTATGTGCAATTCTTAAAAACGCGGAAAGCAGTTTGCGATTCAACACTTTCTCCCAATTTCGCACCTAATCTTCGTCATGACTAAGCATTTTTGTTCCATAAAAGTTCTAGTATAAGCGTAATTTGGCTAGCAGATTGTTGGAAAGAATGTTGAGGGAAAAAAAAAAAAAAAAATGCCTTTACTTCGTGAAAACAAAACTAGCAGGTTTCTGTAGCAGGGTTTGTCTCCAAATTTTCGCCAAAAAATCGCCAAGTTACCATAATGTAAAGATTTACCCCTTAATACATTATTTTAGCCTCTCTGATTGGTTAGCGTTACTATTCTGGAGTACGGGTTTGAAATCCGAAGAAGACATGGATATTTGTAATTGTACAGTGTCTGTTCGACATGAGTGCAATTAAAATGCACGAAGAGCCGCTAGTCCTGGTGAGTCATTTGGTGATTTATTCTGATGTTCCTATTAGAAAAGTGAGTGACAAGTCACAACAACATTATTGTTTAGTTTCTAGGTGCCATCCCCCCCAAATCCTCGAGGGTGAAATTATTAGCGTAAATCCTAAGCCGCACATTCTTTGTAAATTTTAATTAGGTTTTCTCTATCGCCTGGCAAATTTTAGCTCTTCTCACAACAGTCAAACTGTCTTACTTTATGCAGTATGTTTTAATGTTTTCATTACCACCTTACTTTTAAGTTGGTTTTCTCGTCCTGTTATTCTTGTTCTGATTCCCATCACTCATTTCAGAAGTTATACTAATTATGCAATAGAAAACAAACCATGGCTCATGGAACGTTGAGGTAATAGTAAATTGTTCTGTGAAAGTTCAATGCTCAAATTTTTTGCTAGCTTCTACAGATGACGTCATGTAAGTTAGCAAGACGTGAGATCAAAGTGTTAAACATTTGATGTTAGTTAATAGCAACTTAAATTTTTATTTGTGAAATTCAGAGAGAGCTAAAATTAATACTTGAATTATTCCAAGTTAATGAGTTCTAGTTCATTCTCGTATTATGTATTAGATTTTTACATAATAATACGTTGTGACTGCAAGCAGTATTAACTTCTTCGCATTGCAACTTATTTTTACTTTGCATTCGAAGCAATTAAGCAGATGTTAGATTTTATGGTTTATCCTGATGCCATCGTTCTAGATAATAAGTTAATACAAAGTGCATTAAAGGTAAAATAATGCAGGTTTGTTTTGCACAGGTTATTATAGATTATTTATTGTGTTTCTAAATGCTATATTTCACAACATTTTGCAGATTTAAACACAAAAGTAAATATTATGTGAAAACATTTAGTCCTATTGCATTTCAAACCAGTACTCCTGTTCTTTCCGCACGTTTTGTAACATTTCCTCTATAACGATTATCAACGCAGCCGCCGCAAAGCGATTCTGATGTTTCTTTGAAAATGCTGGTTTGGTTTGGTTTACTGAGAAAACGGCACTAGAACTATCTGTCTATAAGGAAGGATCCTTCGGGACTTTCTAAGAGAAACTGGTTCGTATAAACGTTATACATGGGAATATCACGAAGACGCCCATGCAGCCAGCCTATTCGCCTAGTCGAAACTACCAGCATTCAGCGACTTTACGGCTCAGCGGCTGGTGGACCTTGAAGATGTTGGCAACGTAAACAAACAAACATTATTTTTAATGTACCTGAAAGGAAATAATTACTGATCATAATTCAAGAGATATTTACGACTATATGAGCAATTACAGTTTTCCCCCACAGCTATTTTGATAACACTAACCGAATTATACCATTAAACGAATAAAAAAATATTCTTCAGTAGAGCAATGGAATTCAACTAATTTAATATAAAAATATCATGAAACATATGAATAAGTATAGCACATCATTTTAATTAGGGAAATGCGAAATTTGTTTAGGAGCTGTTCTTAATGTCTTTAATGTCATTCATTTACAAACTTGTCATAACGTTTCTGGAAGTTATTTGACTGATGCTGTACCAAAGCTGGAATAAGGGTGAAGCAGATAAGGCACTTGCTTCAGGTGAACAAATAGAAGAAGCATAAAATCACCTACAAAAATTCAGAAATTTATTTAAAAAATAATTATGATTTTTAACTCTTAATTTCCGAATACATCAAAGAAGGTAAAAAAAAATGCGTTATAAGCAAAATTAGAAAAAAGAAATAGTGTTAATTTATTCTCTAAAGAAATTAGTTTTCACAGTAGTATACGTACCTAGCATTAGACATTAATATTGAAAGAAGCATTTTAAGGCTAACTTTGTGTAACAATCTGTATAGGCCAAACTTCCGTAAAAAATATTATACTGCCGAGATTAGTAGATCTATGTTGTTTCTCATTAATTTGAACTAGCGATTACTGCACCTACTTCGTCATAACAAGCTTGCTAAAGTCCACGAACTCAGAACAAACTGTGAAACAATAGCTAAAAGGTTTTAGCAGTGAATCTAACGCATAAAGGCCTTTTGGAAAAGCATCCAAAGAATAAACAAGTGTGATTGAAAATTAGATGCACCACTCTATTAGTATTTCTCTATTTCTTTAATAAAACCTTCCAATGAACGAGACTCATGGATCGAGGTTTTCGTCTTGTTACATAGTCATTTTGTGAGGGAACTGTACAGATATTTTTATTTTTAGATATTTCCGAAGCAGATACTTAATCTTAGAGGATTAAACTAATTGCTTATTAGTTTGTCTCATTCTTTATCGACAGCAATGTAAGTATAGGAGGTAAGACTTTTTAGAGTTATTCTGTTGTTTATAGTGAAAGCGTAAAATAATTGTTTTCAGTTTTAACTGAATAAAATGGAGATTTAAATTTATGAAAGTTTTGTTAAAGAATTAAAGTAAACAGTTCTGACTAATTCTAGTATAATTAATTATTTTGATATACAAGAATGCCTTTTAAAATTTTAGTTTCGTTGATTCTAAGATTATCGATATAAAAATATATTTGAAAGATATGCTGTTTGCAAGAGAAATTTTAAGAAATACAGGTTCGCACAGACTGCTACGTAAAGAAAGAAAACAAATGAATGCGATGAATTGTTGAATTAAGACAGTTTATTTATGTATATATGTATATTATATAAAATTAAAATAGCAAAATTAGGGCAGGGGTGGGAAAATATTCCATTGCTGTGAATACGAATTAGGGAAAAACACTGGTCATATTCGCAAAATTTAATACATTGAAGTCCCCTGAGCTGACTGATGAGACGATGTAAAAAAAGCTAAAATATGAAGCATCATTAAATCTCGTTAATTTAAAAAATTTTGCTAATATTGTCAAGATCGTTAAAAAAACGGGCTAATCTTTAGAATATGGTAACAGATAGTTTGGCGACATTTTGGTAAGGCGATAAAGGTTACTAGCTAGGACTTTAGAAATAATTTGAGAAGTACACAGTTCGAATCACAGATTATTTTGTCTGAGAGAAATGAGAGATCATGAGACATGTCATGTGACATTTTCCAGAAAATTCCGATCGTGATTTTAGCTAATAAGCACTTAGAAACCATTTCGCTGCTAAAGTGCAGAATCGCCCACTTACTTGTTTGGCGCTTTTTACAAGAGTAATAATAATTATTATTACAGCCTGCTCCGCCTCTCATTGGGCACTACAGGTCGAGTCAAATCACTCCGGTCGTTGCGTTTTCATCTTAAGCTGCTTTTCTTTTCAGCTATCTTTATTTAAAACTATTTACAATATTTAATTAACATTATTACGTCTTACAGTTATAATTATTAGTACAAAAGCTTATTAAAAGGTTAATTAATTAATTATGTTACACTATTTACAATATATACATTTGGCTTGCAGCCAATTACATACTTCAGGTTTTTAACAGGAACCTGGTTTTTAGCTTTCAGTTATCATATCCCTCTGATGTTCGTTGACGAACTTGATGATTTCTCGAGCTCCTCTTTGGCCATAGTAATCTGTGAAGATCTTGCGGAGGTCCATGTTTTGTCCTAAGGATGAGAAGTGTCTTGCTCGCAGGTCTTTGGTGAAGGGGCAGATCGTCAAATAATGCTTGGCATCTGCTGCTGTTGCTGGAGTCCCGCAGCTGCATTCCAGAGAGCGGCGGAAGAATCTTGTGAAGTAATATGGAAACCGTCCGTGATTGGTAAGTCCCTGTAAGATGTAAAAATCGGACTTTAATCTCTTCAGCTTGACTTGTGGGAAGATGGCATGGGTATAGCGGCCGGTGTCGGCTGTGTCCCAGCGGTCTTGCCAGTAGTCCAGGAGTATTGTCTGAATCTTTTGTTTTGCTGCTTCTTCGGAGAGAGGAGTAGGGCAGTCTATTGTTGGGAAGTTGGTGGCGTCTTTAGCCAGTCTGTCGGCGTATTCGTTTCCGGCTGTGCCTTGATGGCCTCTTATCCAATGGAGTGTTACTTTGTTGAGGTCGCCTAGTGTAGAGAGGATCTCCTTGAGTGCTTCAATGTGGACGGGAATAACCCCAGTCTTATTGAGGCATTGGAGTACGCTCATACTATCTGTGTAGAAGTGAATATCCATCGCTCTGAATTGTCCTGCCCAGAGGGCGGCATCTTTGAGGGCGCGTGACTCCGCTTGGAAGACAGTAGCGTGGTCGCTCAATCGTTTTGCTGCTTTGAACAGTGGTTCATTGTTGTGGAGGGCAATGAATGCCGCGCCTACCTTGTCTTGTATCTTTGAACCGTCCGAGAAAAACTCAAGTGCTTTCCCAGTTGGAGATTGTTTTGTCCACTTGAACTGCTTCGCTTTTGTCGGGTGCCTTGAGTGGATATGTGATCTGGGCTCAATGCTTAGATCATCCAATCCAGTGTCCAGAATTTTTACGTCTTGCCTTTCATGGATAAGACGATAAATGGCACGTTCCTCTTCAGCCTTGAGGTCCAGCGGCATGATCCCTGCGATGACCTGGAGGGCTGTGGTTGGGGCTGTTGTAAAGGCTTTTGTTATTTTGAGTAGAACAATCCTTTGTATTTGCAGTAATTTCTGTTGGATTCTTGCCGTTCCTGTCATCCATATTGGACAGCCGTAGAGTATCATTCGCTCTATGCCTCTAAGATAGAGGTCTTTTAATAGTCGGCCTTTTAGGTTCCAGTTTGAGTCGACTATGCGATTCAAGTTGTTTATTAGGATACTTGTTTTATTGCGGATCTCCGTCAGGTGTGGTACCCAGGTTAGCTTCTTGTCTATGACGAAGCCTAGGTATTTAATTGTATCATGCCTTCTCAAGGGATGATTTTCCCATTTTATTCTTGGGGGGTTGCTTATGAGTTTATTCCCTTTGGGGATTATCATCATCTTCGTTTTTTCGATGCTGAATTTTAACTTGTGAGTCTGGCTCCAGTCGGTGATAATTTGAAGTGCCTTATGGGCTTTTCTTTCTATCGGTTTCCTCCGTTTATTACTAGGAGGAAATCGTCTGCGTAGGCCTGGATGTAGGCCGCTTCTTCAAGGTCTAGGTTAATAGCTGTATTTGCTACTAAGTTCCACAGGATGGGTCCGATGTTTGACCCTTGTGGGGCTCCTTTGTTATATGATCTGGTAATTTTGATACCATCTCTGGTGTAGGTTACTTTCCTGTTCTTTAAGTAACTACTGATTAGTCGGTAGAGATTCTTTGGACATTTTAATTGTCTTAATTGGTCTCTGATTGTCGGCCACCACAGCTGATTGAATGCTGAGGCGACGTCCAATGAGATTATGCATGTATGCATGTTATTTTGTCGGTTTTCTTCAATCTTCTTCGTAAGGTTTGCCAAGGCGTCTATTGTGCTCTTGCCCTTACTAAAGCCGAATTGGGCTTGATTTAATAGGTTGTTACTTTCCAAATGGTATGTGAGTCTCTGCGTGATCAATTTGTCCAGGACTTTGCCCCATGCCGACAATAAACATATTGGTCGGTAGGCGCTGGGTTTTGTCTTATCTTTTCCCTCTTTGTGGAACAGTACCAGTTCGGCTTCTTTCCATGTCTCTGGGAAGTAACCCTTTTTGAGACATGTGTTGAAGAGATCTGTGAGATCTTGGGGATCTACTAGACGTATTTCTTCCACTAGGTCTATACTGAGGTTGTCAAGTCCTGGGGCCTTTCCCCTTTCGGTTTGCTCTATGACCCTTCTGACTTCCTCTTTTGTGAAGGGGAGGTCGTCTGTGTGGTGCTAGGCGGGTTTTTGTGACCGTTGCCTAATTAGTCGATGTTGGGTGTCGTCATCTGTTTCCGAGTCTTCGGGAAAGTGGTAGGCTATAATTTCCGATATTGTCTCTTCAATTGTAGTGGTCTGAGTTCCATCTTCCTTCGTGATGGCGCATAATTTGAGAGGGCCTAGGCTTTTACCTTTGGCTACCTCGTAATATGTGCCAAATGGGGAGGTTATTTGGAGATTTTCCCAAAAAGCCTCCCATGTTGATCGTTTTGCCTGGAACATGGCTCTTCTATAGATAGCTTGTTCTCTTTTGTATATTTCCCTGGCTGTTTCTCTTAGTTCTTGTGGAAGTCTTTGGGACCTTCTTCGGAGAGCTCGTACTTTGTTTCTGAGTACTGTAAGCTGTGGGTTCCACCACGGGTTGCTTCTGTGGTGGGTTTTCGGAGAAGAGTGAGTCTTCCTGGAAGCTTCATAAGTCTCTTTGATTAGTTGCGTATTGCTTCTTATATAATCATCTATTTCTTTGATTGAATTCATCTTCTGATGCTTTATGTAATTGGATGAGAGCATTTCTCTGAACTTCATCCAGTCCACGTGTCTTATGTTCAGTCTTTGATAGGTTTTTGAATGGTAGCTGACGTCTTGGACCTCATAACTGATGTAGTTGTGGTCACTGAGGGTGGCTTCCTCCAGCACCTGCCAGTTCTTGACTTCTATTGCGCCTTGGCTTCTGAGTAAGGTCACGTCTATCCAGGAGTTACCTCTAACCCCTGTGAAGGTTGGAGGGCTTTGTGCATCGTTGAGGATGGTGAGGTCCGTGGCTGCTACGAAGTCGCATATCTTCAAACCTCTTGGATCAGTCTGCATGGGGCCCCATATCGGGTGCTTCCCATTTAGGTCTCCCGCTATGATAATCGGTATTTGATCATGCGTATGGAGGAGATTTTCTAGTTCTAGTAGTGTCGGTTCGATGTCCTGGTTCGGGGAACTGTATGCCGATATTATTATACATGGCTTGTCTGCGTCTATCTTGACCGCGACAATGTTTTCTTGGCTGTAGAGTTCAATTACCGGAACATCTCTGTCCGTAATTATAATTGCTGTTTTTGCATTTTCTATTGCGTAGAATTTCTTATAGTTTATCGGGAAGCCTCTGAGTTGGTTTTCTCTCAGATAAGGCTCTTGTAGGCATGCTATTTGGATACTTCTCTTATCTTCTAGGTATTCTCTTAGATACGTTGTAGCACTCCTTGAGTGCTGTAAGTTGATTTGTAAAATCTGGAGATTAACCATAGTCTATTCTTTGTTTTAGTTTTTGTAATTCCTTTTGGTAGCATGCACAACCATTTTCTCTACTGACATGATCTGTGTGGTATTCCGTATTGTACTTCTCATTGGATTGCGAACAATTTACGCATTTCGCTTTATTAGCCTTGCAGTCTTTCTTCTGGTGGTCCTCTGAACCGCATTTGGTACATCTTATTTTGGCCGTACAATTTTTGGCCGAGTGGTTAAATTTTAGACATTTGGCGCATTGAGATACTCTAATGTATTCTCTGACGCTATTTCTCGTCCACTGGATATTGATCTTCCTTTGTTTCATGACTTCTTTGAACCTGATTGGGTCAATGGAGAGGACCCAATTGGTTCCGTATCTGCCATTCATGGGGAACAGGATCTCCAGTTCTGCGTCTTCGAGGACTGGATTCTGTGTCTTTATCTTGTCTATCAGGTCTGCTTTTTCAATGTCTTTATCAACGTTATAAATGATAATTTTCGGTTTGATCTTCTGCGGTCTCTTGGTTTCAACTATATCCTTCAGCTTCTTGTTTTCTCGGATCGCTTCCTCGAGTAATTCCAGTTCTTCCTTCTCGTTTACTTGGATGAGGACGCCGCCTTTGTTCACCTTCTTGACTGCTTTGATTCCCACTTTTATCTGTGCGGGATCTACGTATCTGGTAACCTTCTCTTTCACCTGTTCTGATGTCATCTCCTTTTTAGGATAAACGATCGTGACGTGCTCAGGATTCTTTCTTTGCCTGCTTCTGGAACGCGCTTTGGAAATTGATCTGCCCCTTTTGGCCATGCTGGCGTAGGTGGGCTTCTCTGTGGCTACGACTCCTCTTATGAAGTCTTCTATATTCGCTGTCTGCTCTAGCTGTCCTTCCAGTCTTGCTATTACCTGGTTTTTAGTAGAAACTTCATTAAGTACTTTAACAAAAGCTCCTTGATACACTTAGATGGTTTCTTAGGTATCTCATATTGTGTAAGGATGCCCAGCAAGTCATCCATATAGTCAAGTGCCTCCTGCACACAATCAACATTGGAAGTTTGAACTTCCGGTGTCATCCTAGCTGTATCGTCCCTAACTGTTGGTCGAGCCTTCGTCGCCGGGCCCTCCGTTTTCTCTTTGGAGGTATCAGCCCGACTTTCCAGCCCGGTGTCTTTTCGTCGTGCCATCTTGCCTTGTCTTGTAATTAGGCGCAAGACGACGTGTAGGGGATATGTAACCTAACTAAGGGACCACTGCATGAACCGTAAATGGGCCCAACTTACGCAGTGGCTGCGGTTCACAAGTCCGGTACCCTGGGGTTCACACCGGACCTGTTACTTGGCGAGTGGAAATACGTTAGACCCTCTTTCGAGGGAGCCCCCAGACCACGGCAAGGTCTATTTCCACACGGGAATGCGTATTGCAAATGACCGTCCAATGACCACGTTTAAACTCAGATAATGCTGGACGGCACCCGATGTTCTTTCTGAGATGGGTCAAACGGACTCGCTTTGAGTTCGACAAGGCTCTCGCGCAAGTCAAAAACAAAAGACTACAATAATGATCGCATTCCCCCTGGGGGGTTTACAAAGAAGTAAGAGGAATTGGATTTTTTTTTTTTTTTTTTTTTTTTTTTTGTCCATTTTCTTTGACTTTTTAAGTGAAAATAGGTCGATGGGTACATAGATATAAAGTCAAGAGTGTGCGCAATGCCATTTTTGTGCAATTCTGGCATTTTTTTAAGTGAAAATAGGTCGACGTGTACATGGATACCGTGTATGTCGAATTCTTAAAAACGCGGCAAGCAGTTTGCGATTCTGCACTTTCTCCCAATTTCGCACCTAATCTTCGTCATGATTAAATATTTTTGTTCCATAAAAGTTCTAGTATAAGCGTAATTCAGCTAGCAGATTGCTGGAAAAAAATTTTGAGTTTAAAAAAAAAAAAAAAAAGCCTTTACTTCGTGAAAACAAAATGGCGTCCGAAACAAAACTAGCAGGTTGCTGTAGCAGGGTTGGTCGTCAAATTTTCGCCAAAAAATTGCCAAGTTACCATAATGTAAAGCTTCACCAAAAAGCGTTATCTGGCAGCCGATCTATTGACACACTTAAATTAAAATCAGCTGAAATATAAATTTCTGTTCAAGATCAAATAATTTTTTCTCCGGGAAAAACATCGTTTAACTAATAAAACGTACGTCTGTGAATATCAAAAGGTGATTTCATTGATTAATCGATCGATTATAATTAAGCTCGCGACACTATATACATTAGAAGAAATGCCTTCTTAGAGGATGTTATCTCATATTCAAGCAACACAAATCCATATGCAGCCAATCCGTTCACCATGAACTATTCCATCCATTTATTTAAACAAGCATTAATGGAACGACCATCAGCATAAAACTTATTACATAGTATTTGCTAAGAAGAATTTTCGCGATCCGAAATGTCTCCTTAAATGCTTAAAATGAGAGTAGC